AATTTGCTATCACAAGCAAAATGTACCGCTAATCTCACATAGATGTACCCAATTTGTATCTGTTATAAATGAAAAATGCTATATAGCTAAATTGCTATCACAAACCAGAATGAGTTTGCTATCTCAAACAATCTGTAACGCTAGTCTCGCATAGATGAACCTAATCTCTATTTGTTATTAATAAAAAATGGTACTTCGGCGGTTTCCTAAACTGTCTTGTACAATCTTTTTATGCTGTTCCAAGGTTATCACAAACCAGATGGAATTTACTGTCACAAGCAAAATGTAACGCTAACCTCGTAAAAGAAACCTAATCTCTATCTGGTAATGAGGAAAAAATTATATCTTAACGACTTCCTAACCTGCCATTTTCAAACTTACAGTCATGTTCCATGGTTATCAGAAACCAGATGAAATTTGCTATCACAAGCAAATGAGAAGAGTTTGTTGACCATACCTTGTTGCTACGTTGTTCCAAACGCTTTCAGGGTTATTATTTGAGCAACGGAGTATTGAGCCATTATCCCAAACATCTTTATTCGTCCTTGGTGTGGAGCTGACTATCACAAGCTAGGTCCATGTTGCTATCCCAAGCAACCGAATCCAATGTTACAACGTTATCCCAAATGTCTTCGTTCATCCTTGGTGTGGAGCTGACTATCCCAAGCCAGGTCCACGTTGCTATCTCAAGCAACCGAGTCTAATGTTCAGCGTTATCCCAATCGTCTTTGTTTGTCCTTGGTATGGAGTTGGCTGTCAAAATCTAGGTCCACGTTGCTATCCCAAGCAACCGAGTCTAATGTTTCAGCGTTATCCCAATCATCTTTGTTTGTCCTTGGTATGGAGTTGGCTATCCCAAGCAACAGTGTCAGAACGTTATCCCAAACGTCATGTTAGGCACAATTTGCAGCGCCGGTGAGGCATCCATACTAATATTCATTTAACTTGCACCTAAAACAGATCAGTTAGTCGACAGATACCTGATGGTGACGCCGCTTCAAAAAAGGAGGCCTACACGCTACTTTCTAATTTTGCTCCGCAACGAAAGGAACCTTGAGGCGGCGACCGTCGGTCGATATCTCGTTCGACGATGCACATCTATCGGCCAAACTTCTGTCCTGTTCTCTAATTCTTAATGTTCAGCGCTTCCTCGACACTGCTGAAAACGTAGAAACGACGCGCTCCGATTGACGTGTTAACGGTTTGGCACGAGAACAAGGAATGTTTATATGTGGCCAGAGGGGAGGAAGGTAGGGGGAAGAGGCGCGGTGCGGGTTTCCTTCGTTGCGTGTGCGCTTTGAAATCGTGGGGGTTTGGTACAACTACGAGGGTACTAATATAATACTAATATGTACTCTAAATATTTACTTCGACGAGAACGGAACATAATAAACATTTGATATGATTGAAGTGACATACTTTGTAGCGTTTTAGTCATATAATAGGGATAATTGGCCATCATATTTGGTGCAAAAGCTTGGTTACAGGATATAGCTTCCTGAACTCACGTATTTTGTCCGTTAGCCTTCCAATTTGTCGGCACAAAATGAATGAAATACATGTAATATAACCATTGTTAACCCCACCGTAGCCAGCTTTGACACTAAGCTTAAATGGCAACATTTTAACTCCTATAATGAAATTTTCTGCCTGCACAGCTGATCTGTCTTTTAAATATGGTATTAGAGCGTGAGGACGTCGATGAGTATGCCATACAAAAAATATAATTATAAAAAGGAGAATTTAATTTATTGTTGTAATTATTTTAAATCAGAAACAGAAATACCACTTATCAAATACATGCATTGTTTTTGTAAATAATTCCTAGTATGGCCCTCGTACACATATGAATTCTCAGAAAAGTTGAATTAAACATTTTGCAACACCCGTTCTCAGAGTGGGAAAGAACAAAAGTTTCATGAAGTTGCATAAATAAAAGTCAAATATTAGCACCCACCTATTTATACAGTCAGTACCGTGTGTTTATTATAATTTATAAACATTATAACAAGCAGCCGTCTATTGAAATAAATAAATCTTCTGTACTCCAGATACACTTGGTATTCATATTCGGTTTCAAACATGCATAAAACAATGCTCAGACTTGCAGACTTCATCTTTCAGAATGTTCCTTTCGATTGTCCTGACCTCGATATTATCTAGGAAAGGCGGAAGATTTTATTTATAGTTAAAAAAATAAATATTTGATTTTATGGCTACAGTTCAAAAATGAATGTATTTTTGGGATTTTCTGATACTTCAGTCAATATGATACAGACCTATTTAGATAATCAATTTCAGATGGGTAAACGTTGATATGGTTTTATCTCATTTTCTCTGAAGTACCGCAAGGATCTGTGCTCGGACTACTGCTATTTACTTATATATACATTGCAATATTCAGTTCTTTGTCGATGATTCTCAAATTTATAATCATTTTCTTAGTCACAGCATGCATACAGCCGAATCGGAGGTTCGTGAGGATCTTAAATGTAATAGTGAGTCATAACCTTTAGTTAAACCCCTCAAAATAAAAAATCATCATTTTTTCATCAAAACCTTCTAGAAAGGATATCAAAAATAATTTTAATATAAGCCTAATTTGTTCGCCTGCGGGGGTAAATCAATTGGTCAAAAACTTAGGTATTACTTTTTAGGAATGTCTGAAGTTTATACCACACGTGAACAATATAAGTAAGAGTTGTTTCTTCTTTCGACGCCAATGATACCTCAATAATCAATTTCTTATCTATAAACCTAAAACAAATTATGTTAGTCACTAGTTATGTCAAAAATATCTCACTGTGACATAAAGGGTAGTCCAACCATAACGCACGATGTTAATTGTGAGTCACACCGTAACTTCGAGTTTTTTCCCGAACTTTATTTGACATTTCTTTGATTCAGTGTTTGACAAACTCAACCATGGAGAGGTACATAATTGAGCAGCGCGTTGAGATTGTTGAAGCGTTTTATGAAAATGGGCGTTCAAATCAAAAAGTATTCTGTACAATTGTTCATAAAAGACGCTATTTTTTAAAAATAAGTTTATATCTAGAATCTAAGAAACATTCGTTTTACGGAGACCCTTACAATGCCCCTTCACAAGACGTCATTATTCTGTAATTGCCTCACATACAACGCAGTTAGTTATTCATTTTTACAAAATTCCACAAACCGTAAAATTGTTAATACCTATATGATGAATTTAAAATACGTCTCAAAAAAAACATATTTTGGATAAATATTCTTCAACATTTGCTCAAATTTACTTCTCACTTCACAGAAATGTTTCAATAATAATCATATTTCAAATCTTTATATACATGCCTGTTATATTTGATATTTTCATTTCAAGATATTTTTATACGTATTTCAATATACCTATCTTTTAGCTCATGATTGTAAAATTGAACTATTTTATGTTTTGTATTTTGTACATTAATTTGTTTTGGGGTTAATTGGCACTATGCTAAACTTCGCCCCTGATAAAGACGATTATTATTGTTATTGCCTTCATAAATGAATCTCAATCTACAACATATGTATACCAATAATATTTACTAGAGATACCAAGAATTCTTTGTTACTATTGGGTATTGGCCTATTCGGCAACTTTTTTAATATTTGATATTCCACCGAATATGGCGTACTATTGGCCGAAAACCGGATACCACTATTTAAAAATAAATTACTGAAATATAAACATATTTTACCAACAAACAATAACTTAAAATTTATTAGCGCGGCTTTTGATGACGCTCACAGCGTTCATAGCGAGCAAACGAGGAATGTACTATTTGGACAGTAGGAACTATCTAGGCAGCAAATTGATGTTTTGACGTTTTTTTTTTGTTTTACGTTTTATAGGTTTTTTACATAATAACCCTTCGGCACGGGTATCATGTGAAAAACCTACAAAACGTCAAAAAAACCTATAAGATGTCAACTTGCAGACTAGGTAGTTTTTAGGGCGCAAACAGTGATTCCACGTTTGCTCACTAGGATCGTTGTGAACGTCCATCTATGAAGGAATCACTCAACTAAACTGTACACGCATTACTGGTTGCATAGCTTTGTGAGGCTGAATGATCCGTGTCTGTAGTTTTTATCTCTGAGAAGAAAGTTGGTTGAATAACAAGATCGCATCTGGATGATTATGTGTATTGATCTGCATGTGTATAGAGTCAGTGATATTTACTGTGTGAGAAAATCATTACTGAATATGCTGAATAGACGGGTTATTTATATGTTGTGCTTTCTGAAGAGAGGTTACGTTCAAAGTTATAAATTACGAAAAACTGAGGAGAATTACGGGAAATCATCGCTGCGGCCGCGTTGTGTGTAATTACTGTTAGCATGTATATGGCTTGTAATTCGACAGTGTACAGTGAATATAATTATTTCTTATCTCCCTCATTTTTGAAATTCAACAAATTTGTATATGTAATTTCCAGAATGGATAAGAAAAAGTGGATGCGCAACTAATTTCTAGCTTTGAATCTCAATTAAGTGTATTTGAGACAAGAACCCAATGTAATTATCATCAACACATACAAGTTACAGCTTAGACCTCCAGTAATGCCATCTCACAAGCAGATTTTACATCACATCAGAGCCAAAGATTGATAACAAGCCTCATGACGTTCAGGCAACACGTACAACTAAGTGCTAAGTCAACATCGGCGAAAAACCCACATAATGTCAAAAAAAATCGGCATAATGTCACTTTTCAACATTCGTGATACCCGTGCCGGTCTTAGAAGCATATTTTGACATTAAACCTCTTAACATGCACGTACCCAAAAGATATACAGTAGTTAGACAAGACATTCTGTATAATTTTTTCGTAAAGATGATTTTGAGCACAAGACAACAGCAGAAAATCCAGCGGTAAAATCACCTAACCGCCAAGTCTCAGTCGCAGAGCACGTAAAAGCTGTCTGTTCATGTCACATCGAACGGCTTCTGACATGGCCACAATCGCATTTTAAAATTACCTTTCATATTTGGATATAAATTGGGTTTTCGAAGAATAAATGCTGCTATTCTGGCATAAACAGTGGCGCTACAAATAAAATTGTAATTTTTTTTCCATATGTGCCATTATGCCAATGAAGATTTAATTAGACGAGTTTTGATTGTAGATACCTATTTACTCATGATGTATTCTATAGATTAGCTTGTTCATTACCTATACTGCGTGAGACAAAAGACACGGATCAGCTCTGTATTTTCTCGGGTGAGGTATTTTTTGAAAAGGTCAAGGTCATGTAACGTTCAGCAAGGAAATCAACGGTGACCTTGGCCTTCACCTTTAAGGTTAATTTACGGTCAACTGTATTCAAATAAAAACCGCTTATTTTGATGCCGGCAATCGAACGAATAGAACGTTTCAGGTTCAAACCCAATTGAAGTTCAAGGTCAGGATAACTACCTCTCTAAATCTTACAGAATTAATAATAATAATAATAAATGTCGCTTTATTAAAGGGCGAAGTTTAGCTTGAAACTATTCTGCCACTTAACCCTTGAAAATTCAAAAAATACTATAAAGATTATAAATATGTAAAAGAATATAGCTAAGCATACTATAGTAAATAATAAAAATGTAAACACTATGTATGTGAGTACTTTTCTAAAATAAATTGTTTAATTTGTTTTTCAAAGTCATTGTAATTTATTGATTTTAATGCCTAAGGTACTTCATCATAAAGCGTTATCGCGTTGTATGAGAATGAGGTTTTGTGAAGAGATATTGTGAGTGTCTCAGTAAATCGTATGTCTCTTGTATGAATTGAATTTTGAGGGATCGGCTTGTTTGTGCTTTAAAAACGAGGGAATCGAAGTAAGCAAGAGCTTCTAAAGTGATGAAAATGACTTTCAATGTCAATCTTGGATTTGACCTTGAACTTCATCTTCAAGGTCATTTCAGGATCACTTTTTTCAAATAGTAACCCGCAGGAACAGTATCGACTAAGAATCATTTTTAACGAACGCCGTAGCTCCCTCGCTAAAACTTACCCAAAGAGTCTTCCTAGCAGCACACATTTGGCCAATTCTAATGCACATTTGAACGTAAAATTTCCGCCTCCCTGGATTATCGGCATCAAATAGGAAAAATGATCCTGAAGGTGAGGTTCAAAGTCAAATCCAAGATCACTCGTTCAAATTTACTTGATACTTATTTTTATTACTAATCATGTAAAATTTATAGTAGTTTTTCTAGCACATTTGTTGTCCGTTTGAGCTTTAGTTTGGTTCTTCAATTCGTATTTGAACGTAAAAGTTTCCGCTCTTTCGATTGCCGATATCAAAAATAGGGATGCTCATTATAAAAATGAATTTGACTCTGAAATAACCTTGAAGATCAAGGTCAAATCCGAGAACACCGTTAAAATTCACCAAAGACTGACCTTGATCGTTGTTTTCATTACTAATCCTGTGAGATTTACACAGGTTTTCCTAGCAACACACATTTGACCTTTAGATGGCACCATGACCTTGGACTTCGTATTTCAATGTAAAATTTCCGATATTTCGATTGTCGGCATCAAAAAACGGAATTCCCATTAAAAAAATGAAGTTGATCTTGAAATGTCCTTGATGGTGAGGATCAAGGTCAAGTCGAAGAACACCGTTCACACCATCGTTAAAATTTACCAAAGACCTGACCTGGATAGTTATTTTCATCACTCATGCTGTGGATTTATAGATATTTTCCTAGCAGCACAAATTTGATCTCCATTTGACCTTGAGTAGTCATCCTGATCTTGGATTTTGTGTTTGAACGTAAAATTTTCTGTTCTTTCTACTGTTGGTATCAAAAATAGGGTATTTGGAAAAACAATGTTGCCCTTCAATTGAGATTGAAGGTGAAGATCAAATTCAAGGTCACCGTTGAATTCCTTGTTGAAAGTGACTAAAGAACTGACCTTTTTCAAAAATACCTTACCCGAGAAAATATAGAGCCATTCTGGGACTTTTCTGTCACGTTGTTTGTATGTTCTCTCAATAGATACGCATGTCTGGTTTGTCTAGGCCCTAATGCCGACCTACCGAGCTAAAATGATGAGTTTAGATAGAAGATGAATAGATCAGATATGCATTCCTATAACAGGTCCATGCCATTATTTTTTTTTTTCATGACGAATAATTGTATAATCATTGTAATTATGCCGATGCAAGTTATGAACCGTCCATAGACATTAATTGGTGGGTTACCAGTTTTTGTTACACCTAAGCTGCTGAAAAGGCAACAGCTAGGTACGAAAGTCTTAAAGTACTTTTCGTTATTGTAATTTTTGAGCTACCTAGGGGAATGGTCATGTCCCATATTGTTTCACATTGTGGATACCACAGAAACAAAAAACGGACGTTCTGGTTAATTTTTATGTACAAAATTCGATCAAGCTATAATGAGAAAGAGGAGCTCGATGAGTCCTTTTGGCAGACCTAGAATGCTGTGATGAGCTTAGAGGAGAACTATTCGTTGGGATACTGAGTTCGTTAATCCCCAAGGACTTCTTGAATTCATTGGTGGTTTTGACACGGCGTTGCAAGTTGTGTTAAGATTCGTCAATTGCAATGCCGACTGCTACTTCAAGTCAAACATATAAGCTGAAGCCTTTACAAGGAAATTAAGCATCCGGGTACATACCCGCCAACAACATCAGTTTGTTCCACCAGTAGGAAATTTATTCCCTCGTGGACCATAAAGAATAATCATCCGGAGAAGTACGCCGATGCTGGTGATGAACCTCCCGCAGACATTCGGCGCTAAATTATCAGATTTGTGTCACAGCAGCGCTCTGAACACTCGTGCAAATCGCCGTGCAGGTCGGTGGATTGCTTTCTTTTCTGCAACATCCTGCCACAACCAGCTGCTACAATGACCGGTGCACGGTGCCGTACTGATATTCATTCTACTAGTTGGATACGTTATTTGCAGTCCAGACGCTAATTTTAATCCTCCACTCGACGAAGAAGTATTGTAGTTGAAAAAATATCGAAAATAAGGTGGTATGTTTGTTTAGATGTTACATGACACACACCTCGGGTGGGATATGCATATATCGTATGTCGCGGAAAAGTTGCAATCCGTTCTTTATACAGGGAAAACCAAATTTGTCTGTCGGCTTGAGTTCAATGTGTACGAGAAAGAAGCTCGAGAAGTGTGTATCAACACATGTTAGAAAAAGATAGAAGCCGGCTGAAGAGCGAAGGTCATCACCACATTGCCTAGCGACGGTATAATAGCATGGGGAGTACCAAACACAACACATATATTCAAATTAGAAATAACTCGAAAAAGAATTTTAAAGGCAGTATCTCATAAACCCTGTATCCAACTGACCATCTCTATGAAGAAACTTATATATCAAATATAAGACAGTGATAAAAGTTTTGATAGTGCAACACGTCCCGTCCTTTCAAGCAAGAGCCGATACATCCTTGCCCAACAAGAAACAGGAATTATTTGAAGGTTACAAAACCAAAAAATATAATGCCCAGATCGTATCCTTACCTAGGACCAAGATGTTACAGTCTCCTCCCACAAGATCTGAATATGCTACGCTCCAAATACGTATTTAGAAGGAAAGTAAAAGGCTGGATAATATCTAAGCCCAGAAAGATAATTAACGAAATCGTTGATTCAAAAACATCACAATCAACATGAAAACCAACTACTGGAATAAAGTTCCTATTTAGACAAAATACTCTATACGCAACACTTACGATTTAGACAATATATCGATACTATATTTATTTACCGATTTTGGCAACATGCTCGATTTGTCCTCCCAAACAGAAACAAAACACTAATAACCTTCCTAAGATAGACTTGATGCCGTAAATGACTAACTAAATGGAGCCAACGATACTCTTTGCCAGTCAGTATCTGTGCAAAAATTCTGTTTAATGTTGTTATTGTTCTTATCTTAGTAAATCACGTGTATCATTTAATTTCTAGTTAAGTAGCACGTATAAGCCCATGTGCGGGCTTTGTTTCATGTTTCTAAAACTTGTTCTATCCATAATGTATCAAATTGCCATCAGCACATAACTTCACAATCCATCAGTGTGCCGATTATTACAGTTTTCAACAGAAGCATTAGTCAACGAAGATTTAGCAAGACTAGTAGAAATAAGTAGACATAACCTGAAAATTATTCCATCTGAATCTTCACTTATGGTTTTCGTCTCAAAAAACAAACGAACATCGATCGCAATGGAAACTAACCTTAAATCTATGATAACCGTCTTCTTATAATGAGTGAGTGTAAAAACTTAACCAAAATGAAAAAGCATGTGAATTCATTATGTAGTGCATCATTCTACATTTTGAAGCAGTTTCATCCACATAGACAAATATTGTCTACTGCAGTAAAACTGAAACTGTGTGTAACATTAATTAGGACAAAAATCGGTTGTTGTGACCATATATGGCCCCGCTCAAAACAAAGCGCATTCTTGCTCCTTTTACCTAGACCTAATTCAGGTTATATCGAAGGAGCAAGCCTACGAGTTGTTCGTCTCCAGTCTCCGTCTGTTATCGGTATAAAAGTGCATACTAACGTATTTCCTAAAAGTTTTGGCACAAAATGTTTATCGAATTTTTTAACTAAACTATACTATCGAATTATGTGGAGCTCTACCAGAGGTCCTGGACGGAATTCAGATCAATTTCGCTCAGTTTTTCGTAAATTCGACATCTTAATTGTTCTTCTTCTTGGACTTCCCAGCCTTCATGTTAAGCCTTCCAGACAGTGAAGCCCAAAAATCCTCTATTTTTGGGAACAAAAGGTATGTTATGTATGGTGAAGCAATTTGGAAGTATTGTAACCATTATAGCTCTGACTATTCAAAGCTTCACCACTCACTCTTTCCACAGGTCGGAATACACCCCTGTTAGAAATTGCATACCAGACAAGGATTTTACCTGCAAAATTCGTTTTATGTTCGTATGTAACATTGTCAGGGCATTCCTCTACGTTGTCCGTATAAAGTCCGTCGTTTCCGTCATTTCAGAATTACTCAAAGTGAAATACTTTTCGTCATCTGAAAT